ACCCACCCTAGTGTAGTGTGGTGCCTTGAATCACTCACATTAAGCTTTTAAAGACTGAGTTGGCGCATGCGCTTGCTATCTCATGTAATCTCCCAGCACTTTATAACTGGGTAGAATCTCAGTCAAACTTCAACTTACAGGTAAGTCTGGTTTAATTTTACTATTTTTATCCTATGCCAGTTCCAAGCGCGTTTTTCTTTCCTGTTTTACTTGCGGTTTTTATTATCAATATATGCCATTACGCAACTCGTCATAAGACTTCTGCCATTAAATATTTAACTGAAGCACGCGTGATTATGATATACCAGAATTTCTTGACTTCGGGGCTTGGTAAGCCTTCGGCCCGATAGCGGAAAATACTTTCCGGAAAGATTTCGGGAAGTAGAGTTCAAGCATTTCAATTTGAAAATGTTACGCAAATAGCCGACTGCTTTACCATTCAATCACTCGAGTACTTCTTGCTTTATTTTGTTTACCCATTGCACGTGCCCCCCCTTCCCCCCCCTCGGTCAGTAAAAAGGCACAGTATATGACAACATTCAAATAAAGTTATCTTAGAGGAAACAGAGCACTGAGTTGCTCAAAACTGACGGGACGAACTCACACGAATATCACGGAAATGACGAAATCACAGAATAGGCATTATTAATCTTATTTAATAGCTAGCGCTATTTTGCGTTTCTCTGGCAAGCGAAGACAAGCGTATGAGAAGGGGGAGAATGAAAAATGCTGTTTCCACACTCCACCTCTCGCTTGTCGTCCTTCGCACTCACCTCAAGCTTGCATATTCTCATCTGAAAGACGCCACAAAATTCCGCCTGAGTAAAGAGTGAGCACCGAGATAGACAATAAAAGTAAATCTTCGCCAGAGACCATGGCGTTCTTTATTTTCTGTCAGACTTAGATAGTTGTATCAGTTCCATAAAAGCACTATTCGTGTAGAAGTTACAGTTAAGTAAAAAAAAGTACACTTTTAAGCCTCTTTCCAATGACTTTCGTAAAAAACCGAATTTATGTCAACACAATAGCCAATCAGAACAAAGGAACATACTACAGGAAGCCAATGAGAACTCAAGTCAGTACACGGCGCTGACGAAAAGTGCGGGAAAATTGGTTGAGAGGATGGCGCAAGCTTCCCTGAGCCAATGAGGACTCAAAGTCAGTTCAGGCCACCGGCATAGAGCGCGGGAAAATGCAAAGAAACCCATCGCAACTGGTTTCAATTTTTGGATCTGATTGGTTGAGAGGATGGCGCGGGCTTCCTTGACCCGATCATAAAGCAAAGTTGAGACAAACCAATGAAAACTGAAAATTACTCCAACAATGAAATGTTCAGATATTCTGCATGAGTTACATCAATGGCTAAAAAGTTAACTACTAGTTGCAGTCATTTCTACAATAATTTTACATTTTTTCCTTTTGTAAACAGGGACAATTTTTAGAGAGATATTTGTTCCTTAATACATAAACAATCTTTCTTTACAGAGAATAACTGTAATACTTAAGATCATTATTTTTTTACTATTTTGCGAAAAGCTTTGAACAATTTAAAACAAAATTCTTTTTCGTCACTTTTAAACTTTTTCTTAACAAAACTGTATGCAATGTATCGATGCCATCCGAATTANATAGCTGTGTACGGAAAAAATTAACATAACACAAATGAATGGGAAGACTTTTTCTTAAAACGTGTGAAGTTTGGTGTTAACTGAATTCATTTTAAGCCTTCAACGGAGCTTGGGTTTTGCAGTGAATTTTGGACAATTTGCCAGACGGAAAACCGCACTTAAATCGCGTTTTCAAATTTTCACAAATTTCTGAAAAATGAACACTCGTCGGAACTTTTAAACTTGATTTTTGAAAACAGTTTACCAAAGGGTATCGTTGGGCAAAATATGAGCAATTCACCAAAATGGTCGCTGACGGACGATTCTCGATCCTTACAGGCAGACATTCTTAATATTCCTCAGGAGCTACTATTGTATAATATCTATGTAAGTGCGGCCAACGCGATATTCAACACAAATCTATGTAATTTTCTGGGCGTAAATTCTAGCAACTAACAATTGAAGCTTGGTAAATTTATTACACGGGTCTCGTAAGTGCAGGAAAAAAAAATTGTTTTCGCTTCGTTTTTCGAACGGTTAGGATTATTTTTGACGTGTTTATATTATTCTCTGAAGGCTCAGTGAATAATGTTAAACAATCTCCCATACGAGGTCGAGGGAATTATTGAGGCGCATAATTGTCTTAGTATAATTGTACAAGTGGTTTCGAATACTCTGTAAATTCTGTAAATAAAGAAAGCATTCGGAATATTTTGGTGATTACTTGTATCAAGATGAGAGAGCAGTTTTAACAGGTTTATTCAAATCAGTCTGAACAAACCTCACATTCTTCTTTTGAAAAGTGTTCCCCAAACACAGTAGCATCTTTTGTGGTCATTGCAATTAAATTTTCTTCTGTCACGATTATTACTTCCTCGAGAACATTGACAAAACGCGAGGCAAACGATTTGAGGTTTAGCGCTCCTGCTATAATCACCTTGCACGATATGATTAAGGCAAGATATGACGCAACCCTTGACCAATCAGAGTGCGTGAATCTCTATGATCACCTGAGCAATTCTACTAATTCAAAATATTCAAGATATCCAAGACAAGAAATTTCAAGATATTTTACCGAGACTGACTCAATCCTTTTCCATTCCTTTTTTTTAAGTTTGGAAGTTAAACACACTTTCATGCATATATACATACATACATATGGCTTAGACGATACCACAAGGGTGGGATCGTTTGGGGATCGATATCGGTTCTCCCCCATCTTAGCACCACCACTGCACTGATGAGGCCCAGAAGGCCGAAACAGTAAAAGCTTCTCGGCCTCTTGGGTAAGGTTAAAAGGCTTATGAAAAGTTTATTTTTCTTGCTTTTGCAGCAATTGGTCAACATGGACAGCCAGGAA